AGGGGGTCTTTCCGGTGGGGGGGGGGGGGGGGGCTGCCAGCCCCTGCATGGGGCTGGGGGCACTATAAAGGCTGGTGCTGTCCATCCCTGGGGGTCTTGGGCTGGGGCACAGGCTTCTGTTTCCCCTAATCCCAGCTCTTCTCTCCATGTAGCTTTGAGAAAGCGATCCTGCAGTCTGGGAGAGTTCTCCAAGAGTAAGTGAAGGACCTCTGTCCCCATGGCGAGACCTGAAAGCCAAGCTGTCCAGCTTGGGCTGTCCCTGTGCCCTTCCTGGGGTCCGGATCAGGCTGCCAGTAGTGCTTTGTACTTGCAGGAGTTGCTGCACCAGGATCCTTTGGGAGCTGTGACAGCTCTGCAGAGGTCTCATGCTGCTGCAGGGACCCAGGGGACAGGGAGGGGATGGGGGGCATACCAACCTCTCTGGGACACTGCTGGGTTGGGGCGGGGAGGGCACATGTCAGCCTCTGTGGGATACCACTGTTGCAGGACACCCTTTCTCATTCAATCCTTTCCTTTCCCTGCTTCTTGCAGCAATAAGTTCCTCATCCGGAGGATCCATTCGCTGTCGGTAAGTTCTAAGAGGGCTCTGTGGGGCTGAGTGGAGGGAGGCCGGATCCCACTGTGCCCCTGGCTGGCCCAGCTGGGAGGAGGAGGAGGAAGAGGATGGAGCCAGGGAGGGCAGGGGCCATGCAGCACTTCTCACCCCCTCCTGCCTGCCCTGCAGCCAGAGCTCATGGGGGGCAGCCCTGTCCTGAAGAACATCTCCCACTCCCGGGACTTCAATGGCCCCAGGGTCGGCGAGCAGAAGGGCCGGAGGGAGCCTGAGGACAAGGTGAGGGGGACAGCGATGCCAGGGGTGGGGCTGGGAAAGGGGCAGGGGAATGCTAATGCTGTGCCCCCTGCCACAGGAGGGGTTTGTCTTCAAGAAGCCGCAGAGGCCAGGTCAGCGCAGCCGGCTGCCCGCTGGCAATGGGGCTGCAGGGAGGGACCGCTTTGCCCAGAGACCCATCTCTGCACCCGGCCTGCTGGTGAGAGGGACTTGGGGGGCTTTGGGAGGGGACACTGGGGATGGGTGCTCCTGCTGCAGGGGCTGCTGAGCCAGTACCTGCTGCTCCAACCTCCACATTTGCCCTGGAGACCCATGGATGTGGGAGCTGAAGGGGCTGGAGTAGCCAGAGCCTGGGGAGGGGACATCCTGCCTCCAAACAAGGCTGGCATGAGGTTGGCCCCACTCCTGAGCTGTGGGCTGTGTCCTCCCCAGTTCAACACCCCTGAGAAGGAAAACGTCCCAGAGGGAGATAGCCCCATTATACTGCGCCGGTGCTCCTTGACCTCCTCCATGTCTGAGGATGAAGATGATGGCTTCATGGAGATCCTGGATGAGGAGGAGATGAAGGTAGGGAGGGCTCCCATGTCTGCGTGGGTGGATGGACTCTGGACACAGGGTCCATCCCTGCTCAGGGGGGATTTGGAAGCTCAGCCCCTTCACGCTGCTCTCTACCTCTTCCTGTGGCCCTCCTGGCTGCTGTCCTGGCAGACTGACGCCGATGTGCCGCAGGGGATGGAGAACCTGCTGACCGCACCGCTGGTGAGGAAGGAGGAGGCAGAGCCGGTATGTGGGAGCCTTGGGGGGAGTGGATGGAGCCCCAGGTCCCCCCCAGGATCTCCAAGGGAAATCTTGGTGTGAGGGTCCCTCACCAAGGGGCTAGTTGGTGAGCAGCACCAGCCTGGGGGTTTTGAGCTCATCCTGGGCAGTGTGTGGCCACCAAAATGGAACCCTTGTGCCCCCCTACCCTCATGGTGCTGGGGGGGGTGCAGGGGGATACCAGACCCCCGGGCAGCAACATCGGCTCTCCCCACACAGCGTCCTGCGAAGCGCAGCAAGTGCCGGCAGCTCTTCCGCTCGCCCTCGATGCCCAGCAGCGTCATCAGGCCCATCCTGAAGCGGATAGACCGGCCCCAGGACAGGGACACCCCTGTCAAGACCAAGCGGCGGAGGAGCGTGGCTGGCACCCCCAGTGAGGAGGCAGCAGCGGAGCCGGTGGGTGATGGGGAAGCCTTGGGGTGAGGTGTCCTCGTTGTGGTCCAATGACAGACCCTGGTGGGACTGCCCCATACCCCTGCTGTGCTGGAGCCCTCGCTAATGCCAAGGGGATGTCTGGTTTGTGTCTCTGCAGAAAGCGTGGCTGCTGCGCTCCAGGTCCTACTCCCATGAGGAGATTGAGAACCTCCTGGCCAATGACCACCAGGAGCTCATTGGAGACTTCTCCAAGGTAGGACCATAGGGCTGCAGGTCTGTGGGTGCTGCCCACTTTCACCCCGAAGCAGAGGGTCTGTCAGCAGAGCCTTGTGCCAGTGCAAGAGGCCAAACCCAGCTGTGGTGGCTCTTGTTTGGGGACAAGGGGACTTGGGGCTGTGACTTTGGAGCCTGCAGACGCTGTAGCACATGGAGAGCCTGGTCACTGCTCCTCCAGTGCCAGCACTGTGCCATGGCTTCCTTGGAGGAGCAGATCTCAAGGTTGGGGGGGGAACAGGTGACAGCTTCTGCCCTGGGAGGTCTCCCCTGGGGTTGGATCTTGATGCAGCCCATCTTCTTTCCTCCAGGCATACCTCCTGCAGACGGTGGAAGGGAAGCACCAGGACCTGAAGTACATTTCCCCTGAAATGGTAAGGGAGCAGCAGCCTCTCCCCAAACCCTGCTGTGGGGCTGCCTGCCTGGGCCCCTGCCCTGTGCTGCTCCCCCTTGGTGACAGGCTTCCCCCCCACAGATGGTGGCAGTGCTGACAGGACAGTTCAGCAGCCTCATCGAGAGCTGTGTGATCGTGGACTGCAGGTACCCCTACGAGTACGAGGGAGGCCACATCAAGGTCAGAACCACTGCTGCACCCCTTGGGGCTGGGGACTGGGTGAGGGAAACTGGAACCCATCAAATCACAGAGGGGCTGAGACCCCACCACCACCACCACGAGGGGTTGAGCAGCCTCCCCAGAGGTGTTGAGCCCCAACTGGCAGGAGGAAGGTTGATGGTGCCCCAGTAGATGGGGTGATGGGAGAGGTTGGGGGCAGCTTACTGAGCACCCCCCATGAATGAAAGGGAGGTGGGGGGGATGAAGGTGCCTCCTCTCCCTCCCCAGGGTGCTGTCAACCTGCCGATGGAGCAGGATGTGGAGGACTTCCTACTGAAGAAGCCCATTGTGCCCTTTGATGCCAGCAAGAGAGTGATCGTCATCTTCCACTGCGAGTTCTCCTCCGAGAGAGGGCCCAGGATGTGAGTGGCGGTGGATGCTGTGGTCTGCTGGACCTCCTCCCCCTTGGCATGGCTGGATCCCGGCTCCGTGACAATCCCTGTTCCAGCCCCTTCCCATCACCTTCCCCTGTCCTGCAGGTGCCGGTTTGTCAGGGAGAAGGACCGAGCTTGCAATGAGTACCCCAACCTCCACTACCCTGAGCTCTACGTCTTGAAGGGGGGTTACCGGGAGTTCTTCCCCCAGTACCAGGTGAGTCCCCCACTTCTGTCCTCTGTGTGGGCTGGAGGGAAATGCCCTCTCCCTTTCCCAAACCCTGCCCTGCTGAGGGAAGGAGGGGTCTGGCACGGAGCATCCTCCGTGAGGATGGTATCTCAAGGGGCAGGGGACCATGCTGAGGGTCCTGGGGTGCTGGGTTTTATTATGGGTGGGGGCTGGGGGCTACACTACGGGTGCTGACTGGGCCATGGGTGCCCAGACACACTGTGAGCCCCAGGATTATCGCCCCATGCACCATGAGGACTTCAAGGAGGACCTGCGCAAGTTCCGCCTGAAGAGCCGCACCTGGGCGGGTGAGCGCAGCAAGCAGGAGCTCTACAGTCGCCTCAAGAACTTCTGATGGCTCCGGGGGGGCTCCCCCACAACCCCCCACCCCCTTACCTCCCCGGGGCTAGCATCAGGCAACATTTCCCTGCCCAAAACCTGGCAGCCCCCAGCTCTCCTCTGCCATGTGCCTTGCGCAGCATTGCCCACCTCAGCAGCAGCATGGGGGGCATGGTTGTGCTTTTACCCCTTTGTACCCTAAAAAAGGGTAAAAGAGGGTTTAGGTTTTGTCCTAAATTGTGGCTGGGGGCTGTGGTGGTGGGGAAAATGCCTGGGACTGCTGAATCCAGCTGAGGCCATAAGTCACTGCCAGGTTCAACCTTCCTCTGGGGCTTCAGGCTGGGGGCAGAGCCGTGGTGGGTGCTGGTGCTGGCTGCTTCCCCCAGCTCTGCCCTCCCTGGCACTAGGGATGGGGCTTAGGGGCTGTGGGAGAAGCCCCCCTTTTCCCCTTGCACCCTGGGCCAGGAGGGGGGCTGCGCCAGCTCCAGGGAAATCACTGGACTGCAACCCTGAGCCCTGGAGCTGTGCAGACCCAGTCTGGGGCAGCATTTTCCTGGGAGGGGTGGGAGCCCCAGCTTTTGGGGCTTAATTGGCAGAACTGATGCGGAAAAGCACTTAAACCTCTTGGTGCAGCTGGTGGGTGCTGCAGGGCCCCAGCCCTGGCTCTTCTCAACTTATGGGGAAGGGGGGCTGCCTGGGGGTGGGCAGCCTGTGGGTGCAGTCACCGACTGCATCAGCCTGGGTTTGGGGTTGTTTTGGGCAGGGGGACACCCAGCATCGTATTTAAAGTAGTTTGTTCTCCTCCTCTAAGGCAGCTGTGGTTAATGTCGGGGGGGTGGGCAGGAGGGGCTTCACCCCAACCCCAGGGCTGGGCAGTGGTGGGGCTGTGGCACTTGCCTGTGAAGCGGCAGCTGCTGTTGAAGCACCATGAGCTGGGGCAGGTGGGAAGTTGTTTCTGCAGCTGGGAGCTGCCCCTGTCAGGCTGTACTTGTGTGTCTTTGTTTTTATATGTTGGGGTTTTGGTTTTTTTTAACACTCCTGGTAAATAACAAACCCGTGTCCCCACTCTGTGACTGCCATGGGAAGGCCTGGGGGTTATGGAGGGCGGGGAGGGGGGGAAAGGGTTGGGGCGGCTGGGGGCTGCCGGGGCAGGG